CACTCACACCACTGGTCCTGTGGGGATCATCCGCCCTGGATTCCCTGGATTTTCAGTTCCTATCTGTACCAGTGTACATCCTCTGGTCTAGCCAGACTTTCAAGGTCGGATTCTAGTCATGGTAATGGGAGCGGGGAGGAAACATTTAGGAACTAGAGGAAAGTTGTATTTTTCATCATTGTTACATCGCAACCTGACTGGCTCATCTCCTCCCCGAGGCCCCTCTGCAAGGGGATCTCCAGTGAGCCAACTTTTCTATTGATAAATATTCTAGCATTTTAAAAGTGCTCTTTGATAGGAACTCTACCCGAACCTAAATATCTAAAGCTTCATTTCTTCTCTGAGCAATAATTCCACTTTGACTTATCTATCAAAAAAAAAATTGGACACATACCCAGAGCTCTCGGAATAAGTGTAGTCAATGAAAGTGTTTGTAATAGCAAACTATAATAAATTCAACCATAATGGATATCAATAAACAAATGCTTAGTAAATTAGTGTACATAATATAGAATACTGTGCAACCATTAGAATAAGATAAACAGAAAACCCTATATGAAACGTCCCTGAGAGATAATGTTAAATGGATGGGGGCTTTGAAAAACTTTTTTTTTAATTGATGGCATGTGAGTACATTTTTGCATAGGCCTTTAAGTGCACAGGAAAATTTAGAATAAGTGCCAACTTTTTAACAAAGCTGTTTTTATTGTTTGGGCTTTGGAGTTTTTTGTGGGTTGTTTTGTACTTTAATAGTGTGTGGAAAAGAAAATGAATTGAGGGTGAGACATGAAATGTGTTTTTTTTAGTTCTATATACTTTTAATTTAGGCTGATTGTCTAGTAAGCATATATTGCTTTCAAATAAACTTTGTCAGGAACATAGATGATTCGTTTAAATTCCTAAATCATATATGCCAATTTCCTATGTCTACACTTCTCCGAGATCATTTCACATTGCGACGTTTTATTAAAACGGGCCTTTTAAAAATAGATTTAAATTTTTTGAAAGGCTGTATGTCCAGAAAAATACTGACTCAGCATTTTAGTGATGAGTGTTTTAAAACTATTTTTTATTGTCCTATTTGATAACAAAAGTTTTCTTCCTTATTTGGTTTAGGGTTTTTACCCTCTATGGTGTCCTCACGTGAGTTAGTCTGGGTAGACTAGAGACACAAAATTCATAGACGCTCATTTTATGAGAGAGAGTTTCATATAAAGGGTGAGTGTACATTAAGAAAGCATCCCGACCCAGTCCAGTCCAAGCCCATAAGTCTGACATTGGCCCATGTGTCTGACACCCATCTACAAAGTCCTCTTCAAACTCACAAAACACACACAGTGACACACTGCAGGAGGAAAGCTGAATCAGTGAACGTGTAAGCATCTCAGCGCTGGCAGGGGTCTCCACACGGCTGCTCCAGCACCCAGGGCTGCATCGGGGTAGGTCCATGTGCTTTTCCTCGAGGATGCCTTGCAGGAAGTGAGCCTTGCCAGCTGAAGCAGCGGGGCAGCTGCAGCCTGGTCCGACCATCAGAAAACAAGAGACGTGAGAACTAGAAAGACGAGGCTCGCCGAGCCATTTAGCTCTCTGCCCTTCAACTAATTCCACATGTTCACTGGCCAAGTTGGCACAATAAAACTTAACTATCACATCATGTAAAATTGATTTAGGGCAATGCTCCTGTGAGACCATCCTTGGTTTCTTTGTGTTAGATCTGCCCCCATCATGGTCCAATCTAGGACATTACATTGTTCGTGTTTACTATCTCAGAGAGAAAGTTAGTGCTTACTGTTCGATGGGCAGAGTACTTGATAATGCCTTGTGTTATTTAATTATCAGCAACTTTTTGCAATAGATTTAATAATCAGCTCTGCTTGACAGATGGGGAAGCAAAGCTTAGCAAGGTTAAAAATTGTAATAAGAATTAGAATGGTTAGAACTTACATTACTAGTGAACTGCCTCACTCAGAGCCCATGTGTGTAATCACTACCCCATGTCACTTCTCAGAAGAGGACAGCTCTCCGTGAAGTCAGCAAAGACACTTGCTGTTTTCTCATTTTCTTAATTTCTCTACTTATTATTATCTCCTCATTTTCATAATCTCATGATGGAAATGGTTATGGAAGATGCGCAAAGTGCTTTTTGATTGTCTCTCCAATTCTGTATAATTCGACCTTAGAACCCAAATGGCTATATCATCTATACCGCTTTCATCATTCTTTGTAGTACTTTTGTGAGAACCAAGGACTTCTCCCTAGTCAGATCCTTCACTATTGGCTTACGTTGAAGTTTTGCTTCATTTGTAATACCAGCATACTTGAATGTGTGAGGCTAAGTGAAGAGTATTTTTGAGTATAAATTCTGTTCATCTGTGATAACATTTTGCAGCTTCTTCACCAATATCACAGGGTAATATCACTGCACTCAGTGATACACTTTCCTTGTAAATTCTTTGGCTTCTACCCGCAAACTAAAGAAAATGTCTAACATATCCACATAAGACAGGCAAATACTATATGCATATGTTAATTTGTTGTGGTACACAATTTTTATTCTAAGAAGTGTTTCATGACACAGGGAATCCAAGACAGATAAACCCCTCAGGACCAATAATGAGAGTAGTGATACCAGGAGGGTAAGGGGAAGGTGGGGTAGAAAGGGGGAACCGATCACAAGGATCTACATATAACCCCCTCCCTGGAGGATGGACAACAGAAAAGTGGGTGAAGGGAGACGTCGACAGTGTAAGACATGACAAAATAATAATTTACAAATTATCAAGGGTTCATGAGGGGGTGGGGCAGGGCAGGGGGTGGGATGAGCTGATATCAAGGGCTCAAGTAGAAAGAAAATGTTTTGAGAATGAGGATGGCAACAAATGTACAAATATGCTCACAATGGATGGATGGATGGATTGTGGTAAGAGTTGTACGAGCCCCCACTAAAATGATTAAAAAAGAGAAAAGAAGAATGTTTCATGTTGGTTTTCCTTCCCATTGTTGATCCGACTTTATTTGTAACGATGGGTTTCTTCTTTGTGTTTAAAGGGCAGCCATTCTACAAAAGTGGAAGCTGTGGTCAGAACTCTGATGAGAATCCAGCGTAGAGATCCAGGGGCTAAAGCGCTCGTTTTTTCAACGGTATACGCCACATTTCACCCTCAATGTTAACTCAGACCAGTCTTCTCTCTAATCAGTTTATATCGATTTATATGAGGTAGTCAATTGCTTTGCCATAATAGATTTAGATTTAGAATTACTATTAGATTATTACTCATTAAATTATGTCCGTGCCCATAGGATAGAATTATTTTTAGAGAAATTTAATGATAATTCATGTTTGTGTATTTGATTTAGGAATTTTTACCCCTTTTTTATGGAGTTCTGCTTAGACAGTGGTTAAAGCACTGCTAACCGAAAGGTTGTAAATTCAAACTCACTAGCTATTCTTCAAGCAAACAGCTGATGGCCTGCCTCGAGAGTTACATTCCGGGAAACCCTGTGGGGCATGTCCACTCTTGGCATGTCGTCGCTGGGAGTCAAAATCGACTCGACAGCAGCAAGCTTCCCATTCTAAACTTGGAAGCCTGTAACCTTGACATTCATTCTACCAACTGGCTAAGAAAAATTAAAGCATTCGAGTGAATAAGGCAGTAAAAATTCTTTATTTAAATTTGGAAAAATAAGTGACCATACCTATTAAATACTTAATTCCTTGTTTTATTAATTATTCCTTCTATAGTTAAATGTTTAAAAAAACACATCTTTCATCTATACTTAAGCCATCATTTGATACCATTATTTCAAGATAGAGTCAACGAATGTTGGCAGTGCTAAATATGAGGATTTGGTGTTGGTTTGGATTATTTAACACTGAAATGTGAAAGTTATTTTGGTTTAGCCCCTTTTCAGGTCCTCTTTGTGAAAGCATTGTATAAATATTTGTTTTATTTGTTTTAGTGGCAAGATGTATTGGATATTATTTCAAAAGCTCTTACTGACAACAACATGGAATTTGCACAAATCAGTCGCATTAAGACATTTCAGGTACGTATATCAGGAAAATTTAACTTGTGTTATTTGAAGTAGATTCAGCCACATATTAAAACTGTTATTAATTAGCTTGCCTTTCCACCCTTTTTGAATCATATAAATCACATAAGCAAGGTTTTAATTCTTAATTCATGAATTACAAATTTAACCTTTAAAGGCAAAGTAGAGAAACTACTAATTTTTTCTGTAGCAACACGAGTATCTTCTTTTAAGATCTTCTGGTTTGAAACGCTTTTCATTAATATGGGAAACAATTGTATATGATACATCCCTTGAATGGGCCAACGGCCTTACGCATCCAAAGGATTAGGTTCTACATATACTATAAAGGTGAAACCAAATAAGTCAGAATTGCCCTCGTATGCTCAGAACGTTGCCAGGTGCAGGCTCCAAGGAGATGCAAAGAAAAGACAGCCAGCTGCAAATGTAGCAGATTTGTGTCTCTCTGCTCACACGCACTTTGGCACAGTGGTTCTTAACCTTCCTAATGCCGTGACCCTTTAATATAGTTCCTCATGTTGTGGTGACCCCCAACCATAAAATTACTTTTGTTGCTGCTTCATAACTAATTTTGCTACTGTTATGAATCATAATGTAAATATCTGATATGCAGGACATTTTAGGTGACCCCTGCGAAAGGATCATTCAATCCCCCCAAAGGAGTCGCAACCCACGGGTTAAGAACTGCTGCTCTAGCACATTGTTTCTCCTCTCTTTTCTCCTCTAAGCTCATGTGATTGAATTTACATACATCATATGCATAATCTTGTGAATCCACTCTATATGATAAAGAACAGGAGAGCATATGTGATATTTTTCCTTGTTATTAAAGATAAACAACATGCTTATATTTTCTAAAACTGACCATTTTACATTTCATACTTCTATTTAATTGACCCAGCTAAAATTAAAATGTACCTTTCTTTTTTAGGAGAATCTTTACGCATTTAAGCATGATCCCCAAATCAATATTTTGCTGCTGCCCCTGCACACGGGTTCTAATGGACTAACAATCATTGAGGCAACTCACGTTCTCTTGGTGGAACCCATATTGAACCCTGCCCATGAGCTGCAGGCCATAGGGAGGGTGCACCGAATCGGACAGACCAAGTAAGAACTGGAATTAGAGTCCGTTGTACTTACTTCAGGTTTCTAAGAAACTCGTCTAATTATGTTTTTCATAGCCTGTTCAGTTTTAATTTTTTATTAAATGTTTGAAGTTACAGCAAAACAGTAATTGAGAGTTTCAGCTCTCCTGCCATGAGATGGGAAACCCTAACATTCTCCTAGAGCTTTGTCTTCCTTCTTATTTGCTTCACAAAAAAAGCCTTCCCTCTTTCAAAACGGCAATGATGACATCATCAAATAAGGTGTGCTATAAATACTTGAAATGGTTATGTAATGAAAGGGATCCATCATGATTTTATTAGGAATTTGTTTTTATCTATAGTATATTTCATGCTTGAGTGAAAATAACTATCTCCTTGATATAAGTTCTTACTGAAGAGATGAACCTAAGGCTAAACAATAAGAGATAACTAGATTTAGGCAAGGGTGGAAAGCAAACCTAATATCAAAATGTTGGATATTATATTTGATAAAACTTCCTAGATATATTCCATCCTAGAGGTTATATTATATGAATTTTTTAAATGCTGTTGTCATAAGCATTTATTAAACAAATATTAATTGTGCCATATACTGAAGATCCAAATTGAATAAGACATAAACCTCCTCCCACAAGAAAGTGACTGTGCAGCAGAGAGGGAAAGAGTGAAACACTGCGGTGGAGTGTGCACAAGGCAGGTTACTGTCAGAGCTCCAAAGAGCAGTGGTCCCCTGCGTCCTGGAGAATGAAGGAAAGCTTGAGTCTTGAGGAAAGAGTGCTCTCAAGGCCAAAGACAAGCTGCATGCATGAAAACAGAGGTGCTAAATCTCTTTGGGCTGTTAAGAAGTTTGGGATTATGGGATGTAAAGTATAAGGAAAGGAGATGAATGCCTCTGAAGAAGTTCTCATTCCTCTATAAGCAATAGCCAGGAGAGCAAATAAAAATTTTAACAGGACAGAGACATGTTCATCAGAGGAATTCTTAACAGAATATGGCAAAGTAATGAAATAAATGCATGGTGGTTCTCAGGTACTACCAGGTGTCAGGTAAAATGCATTATATCTTGGTTTTGTGTGGTTGGTTCTTTTTAAAAAAAAAAGTTGACTTCTTGTTTTACCAGTGTTTTCTAAACACAAACAACTTGCCACAACTTTATGTTGGCAAGTCATAATCATCCTATACTTCGCTAGTAAACAGGTTTTTCTACTATCTTAGGTCGTATCACCCAATGCCCCAATCTTGCATCTGAACTACATGCCTCTTTCATTTAATTTTTATGGATCATCTTCTGTGTGCCAGGCACTGCCCTGGATTCTTGAGATGTCCTTAAAGTGCGAGAGCCTTTGTGCATAAAAGCTGGCTGGTAGGAAGGCAGGTGGTAAACCATGAACAGAAATATATTAGATGCTAGAAAAAAACAGATCAGGGTTAAAGGACTAATAAGAGTACAGGGAGATGAGTAGAAAGACTTTAATTGCAAAGGAAATATTTAAGCAAAGACTTAAAAGAGGCGAGAAAACAAGTTATACGAATGCCTTGGAGAAGAATGCTCAGTCATTATACCCAGTGTAAAGAGTTCAGGAGATGGCCTGGTATGCTTGCAAAATGGCGAACCATGTCAGAGTTGTGGATGCTAGAGGGAAGAATAGGAGGTGAACTCAGAGAGCTTAGGAGAAGCAGACTTTAAAGGACCTAAAAAGCCAAGACTCCCTGGGGGTGCAGTGGTTAACACTCAGCAGTTAAGCAAAAGACTGTGAGTTCAGACCCACCAGCTCCTTAGGATAAAGACGTCAGTCTGCTCCTGTACAGCCTTAGAGAGCCTTTGGGGCAGTTCTATCCTGACCAATAGGATTGCTATGAATCGGAATGCATTTGAAGGTAATGGGTTCGGGTGTTTTATTTGTTGAGAATTCCACCGTGAGGACCTTGGTTTTACTCTGTGAAATGGGGTAGACTTAAGAGAGAACACCATGGTTTTTGACATGGACAACTAGACAGGTAAAGTAGCCGTCAGCAGCCATGAGAAAGACTAGAGGATGGAGTTTTGGTGAGGGAAGAAAAGAAGTTTCGATAGAAATTTGAGATGTTAGACATCTGAACAGATTGCTGTTATACATACAATTGAAGAAACAAGGCTAGAGTTCAAAAAGGGGGAAGTGGGGCGGGGAAAGCTGGAGATACACATTTGGAGACCAACACAGAGGATAGTATTGTAAAGTCACGAGAGGATATGTCTCAGATGATAGGCTCAGGAAGAAGAACAGGAGCCAGCAAAGACAAAGCTCAGAGTAAATGAAGACAGCGTTACGAGAGGTGGCCAACTGAGGAAAGTGGCTCACGGAGTGTGGTAAACCTATGATAAATCATAAGCCAGTTTCTCTGGAGGCAGTGGCGTGCTTGGAATGTAAGAATAGGATTGTGTGGATTTATTTAGTGTAATACATTCCATATTACACGAAGTAACTTGTCCAATACCCCCCAACTTGTAAAACGTAGTGGCAGGTTTCAAACACAGACAAAGCTCACACTCCATGCTTTTAAACACAACACACTGGCATGGACAACTATTTTTCAGGAATTTTGCTTCAGAGAGGAACACTGAGAGAGTGGGATTAAGACAGGGGTGGGGGTGGGAGGGTGCTTGTTAATTGTTTTGTTAATTACCCATCCATACTGTAGCCAGAGGCATTATCAAAATATAAGTCAGGCATAAAGCTCTCTGATGGCTTTCCATGGAAGACCCATTAAAATCCAAATCCTGGCCCTGTCCTACAAGACCCTGTATGACCTGGCTCCTGCCCGCCTCTCCAATCACATTTCACCCCTCTGCCTCTCATTACATGTGCCTCTCCCACACCAGGCTTCTCCCAAGCACATTCTGTGTGCCCAGGGGCCTTGCATTTATTTGCTGTTTCTTCTGCCTGGATGCTCTTCTCTTACTGTTCCACATCTTTTCTTAGCCTCATTTCCATCATTGCTTTCTCCACTCAGAATCCTGCCTCCTCACAAAACTTTCTACTCGGAATGATCTTGTTTATGGGTTTTCTCCCTCATTCATAGGTTAGTTCATTGAGATCAAGCGCTTTGTTTGAGTCCCTGCTGAACTCCCAACACTTGGAATAGTACTTGCTAAGAGTGAGCACCAACTGACTACTGATTCTATCTCCTAGACTCTTTACACATAATACTGTGAAACCTGTTTGGAACTAATTGAAGGTGTTTGTAAACTTTTTGTTTATTATGTGCCTTCTAGACCTACTATTGTGCACAGATTCTTAATTAAAGCAACAATAGAAGAAAGAATGCAAACCATGCTGGAAACTGCTGGGAAGAGGTAGGTTTCCTTTTCTACAAATTGGTGGAGAAAGGCTTCCTGGTAGATAACAATGTGTTTGTTTTGGGGAACATCTTCACTCTCTCTCCCACCCCCTACCCCCCAGTTCTATAATTTTGGACCATCGTCACTTAAATGACGACTCAGTCAACCAAAAGATAAAAGCACCAAGCCTACAAAATGCATTCTCTGAACCTTTTACCGGTTCAGTTTTATTCTTTCTTCCCCTTTCTGTCTACATTTGACCAATGATTATTTTTCAATTTTAGTGTGTAAAATTTAAGCTCTGTTACATGTCTTTGCCCCATTGGATCACTTTTTACATGATGTATGTCTGAGCCTCAGTCTGTCATGAAAGTGTGAAACAATACTTATATTCATTGATACGCACATCACGTGCAAAGAAGGAGATTGAGACTTAAAGCTCAGCTAATAACAGGCCTTAATTCCAAAAGGCAGAACAGGAACAGAAAGACCAAAACAGCCTTAGTTTGACAAACTTTACATTGGAGCCATAAACTTCTAAATTTGCTGTTAGTATTCTTTTGTTTCTTTAAAGCCTTTGTGAAAAATATAGCCCAATGTGTCCCTACATCCTGGGAGCTCGGTGTGGCTCTAAGAGATCCAAGGGGCACATTGTGGACTTAGAAGGGATGGTTTCCACTGAGATTGTTTGCCCAGTAGAAAACATGGCTTTTTGTTGTTGACCTGCTAACTTTATCTTAAACTGCTAACTTAATAAAATAGTAATTTGAAGAACTGTTGAAAATCTTTTGTAAGGTGAGAGCATTAACAGTGGTTGGCAGGATCTTGCCTTCTTTGTTTTATTAATTATCCACGGGGGAAATTTCATGATCAAGCCTGCAAATTATTTTGATGAAATGTAGTAATAGTATCCACCTCCTTCCTTCCGGGAATATCCAGTGACCTAGTTACAGAGACTTAGAAACAAACTGGTGTCCAGACTTAGGTTGTTACAAACGTATTAATGGATTCCTGGGGTTTCTTTCTGGCGCTGGCTTCTGGGGAAACCTGCAGTCGCACGAGCTCACCGGCGAAGCACTCGGAGGCCTCCGTCTTGACGGTGGCTGACCTGGCAGACCTGTTCACGCAGGAGACGGACGACATGGACTGACGCGCCCTTGATTTCATCCAGGCTGTCATGGAGCCATCCACTTCCGTGGCTTGCAGAGCAAAGCTATAAGGAAAAACTCTGTTCCAGTAGATGTCAGCAAACACTGTTCCTCTCACTGCACAGTGGCCTAGTCATTCTGGAGCCTTGTTCAATAGATCTCTAAGGTTTTTCATGTTCCACTGTCTAATAAAACATTATTTTTCTTCCAAAGGATATATCTGCTGCAGTGAGGGAACAGAGAGAGGTCATGTGTACCTTTCTTTAGCTCAGATCAGCCTTATAAAGAGTTGGGATACAAAGAAAGTAAACCCATCTAGTTTTATATGACCTCACATACAGGCCTATTTTAAGAAGGGCCTTTCAGTATCTTTAGCACATAAGTCACCAGTATCTTGTATGTGTTAAATAGACAATGAATTACCTTAATGCCTAATTATTTGAGTATATTTAGACTGTAACTCCATGAGTAGTAAGTTTATAATACAACTCCTGACAAATAATGTAGGCAAGTATTTCTTTTCTCTGTATCTTATTATTAAAAATCAAAATATTGGAAACGTCCAATTTTCATTATGTATTGTCATACCAGTGTAAACTATTAACTCTGAATAGCATTTCTAAGTGTATTAGCATTTTAAGTATAATTTTATCTAAACATTATTTAAACTGCTATGTCTGCAGTTAAAGTCCCCAGGTTATTTAAAGAACCCATTCTTAAGAAATCCATTCATAAATTTGCCTTTAAGTAGAATTTGTAGCTAAGTCTGAAAAGGTGCATATGTTCTTATTTAGCCTGCCTTCCCTTCAAGAAAAGATTGGAAACCATTTCAATGGCTTTAAAGTTGCATATGCATTAGTTGAAAGTGATTGCTATGAAGAACTATTTGTTAACCATGGGTTGACTCATTAAAAGTAAAGGCAAATTTACATATTCTTAGAGGCCACATACAAGTCATCCTTAAGCCGGATGTTTGTAACTCGACGACGTACTGTACTCTTCATTTTTAATAAGTTTTTACATGGCTTAAGATTGACACATCTGTAAATAACAAATTTTTATAGTTTTAAGTCTTACCATTATAACATGGAAATATGGCAGGGTTTTTATTATTATTAAGCTGATGTCTTTCCTCTTCCCTTGTTCATGTGTAACTATCCTTTTTAACCACTTGTATTTAAAGTTATGAGAGGGGAGTATTTTCTCCCAGGTGAACTTCTTCCCATGACGAGTATAGTATTTGATGTTTAGAGCAAGAGAATGCTGTGGTCACACAAGAAATAATTGCAAATGTTAATCATAGAGTGTTTCTTCTTCTGTGAAGAATTCATGGACTTTGAGATTTCTATACGGAGTAGCTTGTATCCTTAACAGTTTTGTGTAATCTAAATGTGTTTTCTCTTATTGTCGTTGATCTTCCAGAGTTTTAATTAACCTTCAGGACGCAATAGCTCCTCTTTAGCTGCCCAGAACATTGTAATAGAAATATGCCCTGGGTCTTACTGTCCAAGAGCCTTTGGTGCTTAGTTGTCAAGGTGCATTTTCTATACCTAAGTCTAAAGGGTGACTTAATTCAGCTGAAGAAAACAAACACATGTTTCTGGTGCTTATTCTTCAGTTGAGAGAGATGCATGGGTTCTTTTATATGAAATTGCATATACTTATTATTTTTATAGCTCTTTACATATTTTTAAGAGCTTGCCTGTACATCCACTTGCTTAATTTTCCCAACAGGCCTGTGAGATGGATATTATTAATGTCGCCCCTCTTTTAAAGATAACTGAGCTTCCAAAAATTTGAGAGACTTGAAAGTAAACATAGGAACCTTGGATCCCTGATTCCAGGCCTCCTGTTCTATTACTGAGTTATGGCGTGCTGACATTAAGAAGGCCATGGTTAAAACGTAATGATGACACAAAACACACATTTGGTTTTTGTTTTGTTTCCAAAATATTCTTTCTTGAAAAAAATTTTAGGAAAAACCATTTGATATGCTTGAATTTTGTAAAGCAAAGAGAAATGTGCTTACTGTATATGATCTTAATTTATTTCTGTAAGGTATCAAATATTTTAGTGGAAATTAAAATTCGGGGGATTTATGTAAGTTATGAGCCATCGAACGTATGGTTTTCCTTTCAAATTTCTTAACAAAGAATGTCAGAATTGCTTATACTATGAGGTCTCACATTTGATATCTCTGTTACTTCTTCAAGGAGTGCTAGTGGCACAGTGGTTGAAGCCCAAGACTGCCAACCAAAAAGTCAGTAGTGCGAAGCCCCTGTCTGTTCGGATCCACTAGCTGCTCTGCAGGAGATAAACTGGGCAGCTGCTTCCATAAGGCTGCACAGCCTTGGTTACCCGGTAGGGCAGTTCAACTCTGTCCTACAGGGTCACTGTACATCCGAAGGGGCCAGATGGATGGCAGTTGGTTTGTGTTTATTTCTTGAAAATAGTTGTAACAGTTCTTCTAAACAGTTGTTCAAAACAATTATCTAATCCTCACAACTTCTTGGCAGCAAGCATAGGACTTTTGTTTGCTTCCCATGCCTTTTTATATGATCTGCTGTGTTAGCATGCTTATAAATAGTTGCTTGCTAACATAAATGCATGTTATACTAATCAACAGTAAGGAAAATTGATAGCCCCAATCCTAAGAAGACATTCACAATGCTTGGGGATCTAGGAAACTGTTCTGTGTTAAATGACTCCAGGTGAGCATAGTAGAAATGAAAGGATGATCTATATAAAATACATCTATCTATCTCCAAAGCCCCTCTCTTCAAACTCTGTTGCCTTTGCTCTCTATATTGCAGCTTTAACTTTTCTCTTTGTATGGGATTAGCAAAAAGACCCATGGATTTCTTTGAGATTGGCCCCTTTTATCTCACACTGATAACAATAAACCAAACAATAAAAGAAGCTAAATATTATTGCTCATTCCACATGTAATAGCAATTACTAAGCAAAAAAAATCACCAAATATTTGTCAAAATATATAGAAATTTAATTTAGCAGAACAAGATTAGACATCAACTCAAGCTACTCTGAGAAATGAACAAAAAAATTGTCTTCTAAATCTTCGCCTGACCTCTTTTACTAGTTCTTCCAAAGTTTCATATGGTTGAGCTTTTTGGTATTGTTTTGTTTTATTGTGTATTGGGTGGATGAAGGTATACAGGACAAATCCATTTTCCTTTCAACAGTTCATACACAGTTTGTTGCGTGCCATTAATTACAGTCCTTACAGTGTAACATTAATCATCCCACTTCTACCCTGTGTTTTCAGTTTTCATCACACCTTTTTTTCTTATACTTCCTACCCTCTCAATTTTGTCCATGGGCAAAATGGTTGATTGTTCTAATGAATGCTTGCCTCCCTTGTGTTCATCTTTTAACTTTACTCAAATTTTGCTGGACAGAACCCCATAATAATGTGCTATTCGTAATTTTTATTGCTGTCTTATCAATTTTTTAAAAAACAGTACAATATCAGCAGTGCATTTTTAAGCTTGCCTACTGTAATTGTATGATCTTCAATACTATTTCTGTACAGTGGGGACAGTTAGCCATGTTTTTAATAAAAGGTATGCTTATAAGAATCTCCTTGTACCTGAGTCACAGGAATGCCTATAAAGTAGCAGAGTTAATATGGGCCGCTGCAAGCCTTCCTGCAGCTGAAGGAAGGCACTGTGAGTAATTGATAACTCCAAGAGAATGTCAAGGCTCACCGTAGAGCTGTGCTGTTGCCTCTGACTTCCTAGGACAGATGGTAACAACTCCAGGAAGTAGTGGAAAAACTGAATCTGAGAGCTTAGCACAGCCCAAAGTTGCTGCCTCCCATCCTCCCCCACCTCAGAGACAGCCAGGCAGGGCTTGCATGTCTTCTGTTTGCAGAGCAAAGGCCCTGCACTGTGACTTGGCATCCTCTTCCACTGTTGAGCAGCAGTCGCTTTCAGAGTATTGTTCTAGTCGAACCAAATCCTGCTGCAGCTAATCCTTTTTTCTCTGCAAAATAGAAGTCAAATCTAAATGATCTCCATTGTATAATGATCGTTTTTATAGGTGACAGCTGTTAATAGTAGCTTTTTCTTTATGCCTGTCAATCCATCTCTTCCATTTTTTCTCAGACTTCTGCTTTTCAAACCTCCTTCATTTGCTTTGTCTCTGTTTAATACTGAACACCCCTTACCGCACCATTGGAGGAATAATGTGTAAGGATACGTTTTCAATCGGGTAATTTCCAGATCTGTTGTTTATATGCCAGCATATTTCTGATCACTAACGTGCAACCCTTCTAGTGCCTTAAGGAGCAAATATTTGTCCCCCAATTTCCTTAGAAATTTTGTTTCTCCTTTTCCGCTTATGTAGGGCGAATCTGCTGAGATTGCCTGAGTTTGGTTGCTTTCAAGACCATTTAGTTTGTATTTTACTGCATTCCTAATTGTGTGCTCAAACTTTTCAGTCCCATTCATCCCCTATGTTCTCGCAGCTCTCCACAACCAAACCATGGCGAGGCCAGGTCTTTTTCCAGAGCCTGCCTGAAACTTTCCATTAACTAGATGGGAACATTATTGCCTGTTAATCGTGTTGGATGGCTTATCCTTGGAGCTTCACAGAATGTCTTCCTTGGTAAAGCAAATCTCTGTTTGAAAAAAGGAATGTATTTTAGTATCTGTTCTTTATTGTATCAGAATGTTTCTAAAAATTATGACACTATTAAAACTATTAAAGAATCAGTGTGGAATATTCTATTAAAACTTCCTTAATGCTTTTCTTTTTAAACCCTCTGTTGATATCCGGTTTCTGCTTCTTTTTGTTGTTTGATACCACAGCATCCATTTTCGATACCGAGTATTCCAAGTGACCACCTAGTTCTGCCCAGGGCATTTTCTAAGTCATAGTCTTTGTGGAAGCAGAGCTCACATCTTTTGCCCAGATAGCAATAGCCAGTAGGTGGGTTCGAATGGCCCAGTTCTTAACCATGATACCGTCAGGGCTGCTAGCCCGTGGTCTTCAGGTGACCACCTTGACCTCACAGTGGTGTTCAGCTGGTCAGAGCCTTGGCTATGGCAAGGCAGGATGCACACCGCCATTCTACACAGCATTCCATCTTTAGTTCTCACCAGGAACGTAATGCCTAAAGGGAATGCCACTCCACTGTAAGCCTCCACCAGAAGACAGGCGCCCAACTTTAGTGCCAGAAGCACTCCACTCCGGTAAGCCTCAACCTGAAGGCCCTCCACACCACCTCCATGAATCAGCAAGCCCACTCTCCCAATAAATGCCCAGAGGCACCCTGCTCCACAGTCCAGCCTCCTGCCCCAAAGCATTCACTTTGCTCTGTTGACTGTTAGACCCACCACTCATTCCTGATTCTGCTGTTGCTCCAATGTCACAGCTGTCCTCAGGATCTAGAAGGTTCACTCTGCTGGTATCGTGGGCTCCAGAGGACATGCTCCAGTCCTGGCACTTGCTGACAGTGAGGTTCCTCTCCTGCTTCTCAGAGGGCTCGTTTTATATCCAACAGGATGTCAATGAAAATGTAGCCAACAAACAATTCCTCCCCGGTGAATCTGATAGGCGTCTTTTCTCACTTTACCCAGACACATCAGGAAAAAGGCCGTTTGTTGACAGTTACAGAAACTGCATAAAATAATTCATTGCTCCTACAGGCCCTAATAAAGAACTTCCTAAAATGTTTTCATTTGTGTAATATGAATTCTCAGAATATGATAATCTCTTAGGAAAGTGAACTGCAGCTCAAAGATGAGAGTCCGTTGTTAGGTGCCATCGAGCTGGTTCCAGCCCATAGCAGCCCTGTGCACAACGGCGGAACTGCCCAGTCCTGCACGGTCTGCAGTGGCTCCTCCACCTGAGCCCATTGTTGCAGCCACTGGGTCAGTATATCACGTTGAGAGCCTTCTTCCTGTTTGTTGCCCTTCCATGTTACCAAACATGATGCCCTTCTCCAGGTACCTAAGGCAATGAGAGCCTAGTAGATTGACTTCATTCACGGAGCACGTACAACACGAGCCGCTGGGTATCGAAGCCAACATGCAAGCAAATAGCACCAGAGGAAAGTCAGTAAGTTACCTTTGACATCTCCTGAGGCTGCATATTACAACTCCGTACCTCCAATCTCCACGTGAGCCAATAGATCATTGCATTTTAATTTTCAAGGCAATAAAGCTGAGTTTTTCATAGTACACAATTCCTTAAAATTGAATGAATATTTATTACGAGCCTTACTGCATGATAAATGTTCACTAATTCCATTCTGAGTGTGTTAGTCTGGGTACATTAGAGAAACAAATCCACAGAAACTCATGGATAAGAGAGTTTTATATAAAGAGTAAGTGCACATCAAGAACACATCCCAACCCAGTGCTGCCCAAGCCCACAAGTCCAGCATCATTAACCCATATGTCCGACACCAATCCACAAAATCCTCCTCCATCTCACAAAACACACAATGATGCCAACTGCAGGAAGAAAGCCGAGTCAGTGTGTAAGCATCTCAGTGCTGGCTGGGGTGTCCACATGGCGGCTGCACCGGGATAGGTCCATGCAGCTTCTTAGGGATGTCTTGCAGGAAGTGAGCCTTAGCCAGCTGAAGCTGGGAACTGGCAGCTGCACCCTGGTCTGACCATCAGAAAGCAAGAGACCTGAGAACTAGAAAGGCAAGGCTCGCCGAGCCATTTATCTCGCTACCCTTCAATTAACCCCATATGTGTTTATCGGCCAGGTTGGCACAATAAACTTTAACTCTCACTGAGGTTTGTGACTCTTCAGGATTCTGGTGGTATAACTAAAGCACATCACAAGCAGCATTTCCTCTGACATCGGGGGAGATGTCTTCTGGACTCTCAATGGTAGAATTTGGAAATTCTATGAGGACTTTCTGTGCAAGGAGGATTTAAAAGATGGAATTAAAAGAGAGTGACATTCCCCCACAACCTTTCTGAAGCGCTCTAGTTCTCATTCTGAGATTCTTGTTCGAGAGTTCTCTCTTTTCAAAGTCCCCTATCAGAGAAAGTTCCCATTCCAAGTTCTTTGTTTAAATGATCTTTAACAGTGGAGTTACTTAATTTCAACATCTGTAAGTTTGTACGCTAAAGGCCCAAGTTCCTCGGAAGCTTCCCCCCCAGTTCAGGACATTCTTGTATCATTGGTTCTCAAACTATAGCAATATAACCTGATTCAGAATTACCTGGAAGCCTTGTGAAAACCCAGCTTGCTGGCCACACACCCAAGAGTCTGGGTGAGATCAGTAGGTCTGGATGAGAGCTAATCAAGTCCCCGGATGCTGGGTGCTAGTGGGACAGGACCACAGTGTGAAAGCCACTATGCTCTGTGGTTACCATCTGTATGTTGCCGAGAGCCCATGAGTAGCTCAAGTAGCTAAGCAGTCAAGTACTCACCAAAAGACATGGGAATCAGCTTCAGAGAAGAAGGAGTCCCTGAAAACCCTGTTGACCACAGCGCCCTTCTGACACGCAGGGAGTCAAAACGAATGGTAATCCACTCTACCCACTCTGTCAGCAGCTGGTCATCATACCAGAAGGGAACGTCTCCAGTGGTGTGTCCTGTCGGGTTGTGAAGACTTTGGAGTGATCAGATTTTACAATGTGATGTATCTACATCCTAGAGCTCTATGATGCCACCTGATACAGAAAGAAAAAGACAAGCTGCCACCCACCCCAAAGCGTTCAGCACATTGATCTCTCATTGATACCGCCAAATGAAATAAGTACACTTCAAAGTGTGTAGAGGAACAACCGACTTCAAGCACGGTGTTAAAAGAAGAGTCAGACAAGCAGCACAGGTCTGAGATGGATACACCTGCAATGGAAGTGTCAGCTTCCCCTGAGAAATGCTGGTGTGTGATTGTTAGTTCACTTGTGTCAGAGAGGAAATATACCAAAGCCTTCACAGCCCATGAAGAAGGGTGACATTGGATCGGTAGACACAGTTGAAAGATGGAAAATGAGCTGTGGCTGAGCCATCTTGTCTCAAGTTTGGGGTGAAGATTAGCTGTTCGGTGCACCTGGTACTGGGATTGGATTCCGGTGGAAATTCCCAGAGGTTTTTGTTCTGCTTTCCTCGTCAAGAACTCCCAGCCTGAGTTAGCTATCTCTCAGCTATCTGAATGTGAAGCTTTCTTTCCTTCTCATTGAATAGATCAGCGGTTCTCAACCGGTGGGTTGCGACCCCTTTGGGGGTGGAACGACCCTTTCATAGGGGTCATCTAAGACCATCAGAAAACACCTTACAATTTACATGACGATTCATAACAGTAGCAAAATGACAGTTATGAAGTAGCAATGAAAATAATTTATGGTTGGGGATCACCACCACATGAGGAACTGTATGAAAGGGTCACGGCATTAGGAAGGTTGAGAACCACTGGTCTAAATCTAAGAATGCAGAGTTGGTGGCCAAACACCTGACATTGACACTGCTTCCATAAGGGCACAGCCTAGGAAGCCTTGTAAGGCAATCTACTCTGTCTTACGAGGGCCCCTGAGTCAGAGGAACGTGATGGCCATGGATGGATATGCTGTAAGGAAAAGGCAGTTAGTATACGTGCTTCCCTCCTCAGATGCTGGGGTGCACATCTGTTAGGGTCAACCGATTACATCTACGTTACACGTGCTTAACTGTTCCAAATCAGTGTATAGCTTGGTAGTAACAGGAACAGTTATTGGTGATCTATAAATCGATTGAATCAATAGTTTTAGTGGCTTAACACAGAAGTTCCCAAACTTCTCTGGCCTACCATCCCCTTTTTAGAGGGGGAGCAAAATTACCACTCCCTTGGCAATTAAAAATTGTTGTACTCAGGCCCATAATCCAAGATAAAGTGTAGTTTTCGGCTTTTGTGGTCCCCTTGGATTGCTCCTGCGCCGCTCAGTGGGCACAATATCGCCCCCTTTGGGAATCAGTGGCTTTAACCTGAGGAAAATAAAGCGACGGATACCGACCAACTCTTGGAACCCAGTGCCTGTGACAACAAGCAGCCTTCGCATGTGTCTTTAAGTGATTAAGTAGCACAGAAAAGAATTCTCTTGAAAGCCTTTCCTTGCCTTTGAAAGAGTGCCATCTGGTAACAACCTCAGCCGTTCTTCAGAAATATCAAGGCAGTTCCAAGCACGAGACTACGCCCACAACAGCTTTCAAAGCACTACCTGGAGGAAGACATAGATCAACTGATTACGTCACAGTGCCTCAGTGGTGCAACGGTGCTATGCTCATCTACTAAGCAAAAGGTTGGTGGTTCAACTCCACTCAGGTTGGAGGAAGAAAGGCCTAGCAATTGGCTCCCATCAAGATTAGAGCCTAGACTTTTCCAAGGGTGATGAGCTCCCAACATAAGCAGGCCTCTTACAAAGGAGCTCCTACATCCCTCTCCAGAAGACCAGAAGCGGAAGCACAAAAAAGCCCCGATTGCTCTTTCATGGATGTGAAATACCCAGGAGACTGTAAAATCACCACTGTTTTGAGGCAGGGAAATAACGGACTTTCTGCTCCACAAAGAGCCACAGTCTGGGGAACTCCCAGGGTGCAGCCCCACTCTGTGCTGTAGAGTTGCTGAGATGGCATCACCTGGAAGGCAGGGAGTTCAGTTTGTTGGGTTGGTCTCTGGCCATGCACACGCAGTCATTCTTGTGGGCTGGCTGCTCCACTGTCCTCTGCCAGCCTGCAGGGGGAAAGCGATGCTCCCTCAGACAGAATC